CTCAGTAACGGGGAGTACTGGGGAGACTGTCATGGTCTCCTCCTGAGTAACGGGGAGTACTGGGGAGACTGTAAGGGCTGTGCTCCCCATTGCAGGACATGGCCTCCTCCTCAGTAACGGGGAGTACTGGGGAGACTGTCATGGTCTCCTCCTGAGTAACGGGGAGTACTGGGGAGACTGTAAGGGCTGTGCTCCCCATTGCAGGACATGGCCTCCTCCTCAGTAACGGGGAGTACTGGGGAGACTGTCATGGTCTCCTCCTGAGTAACGGGGAGTACTGGGGAGACTGTAAGGGCTGTGCTCCCCATTGCAGGACATGGCCTCCTCCTGAGTAACGGGGAGTACTGGGGAGACTGTCATGGCCTCCTCCTGAGTAATGGGGAGTACTGGGGAGACTGTAAGGGCTGTGCTCCCCATTGCAGGTCATGGTCTCCTCCTGAGTAACGGGGAGTACTGGGCCCGCCACCGGCGCCTCCTCACACCTGCCTTCCACTTCGACATCCTCAAGATCTATGTCGACATTTTCAACAAGTCCGTCGACATCATGCATGTGAGTGCTTTGCCCCATTGGTAGGTTGGAGTGGGAGTGGGGAGGCAAGGGGGGTGTCAAAATATCTCTCAGATCTCCTGTTATCCTTCTCATTTATCCTTTAACTGGCTTGAAATCAAGAGACAAAGACCCCTTGTGCTTTGCATCCTTTCAGTCACATCAGTGTGGCGTCATGGTTGCATTTGTCCTTTTTTTGCCCGGACTGTGACACATTATGTTCGAAACTCTAAATTTGTAATGAGCAGAGTTTCTAATGTCTGCATATCAGTGAAGAAAGCTTGCATTGCATTGAAGTGTGTTAAGATGTGGACTTCCTGTAAGTGCTATCACACAGACAAATCTACACCAACATTCTGTTAGCGTGACAGTGTGAGAGCGTGTGAGAGCGTCTGAGGCAATCTGCCGGCACTTCTGGCCTGTGCTTCCTCAAAAATTTAACCACTGTAATCAATCAAGTTTATGGAATCTAATCTAATCTAATACAGTGGTACCTCGGTTCTCAAACTTAATCCGTTCCGGACTCCGGATCGAATCCTAAAAAGTTCGAGTTCTGATCGAATTTTTCCCATAAGAAATAATGGAAAACCAATTAATTGGTTCCCGGCCCCCCAAAATTACACCTAAATATGTTTTTTTTTTTTTTTTTAGCATTTAAACACAAAATGCACAAGATAAAACAAGAAGAGCATTTTTTTCTTAATGCTTCCAAAACGATAAAGATCTTATCCCAACATTACCCCTGTCCTGCCCCGATTGTCCGCTCCTTCCGTGTGCCACGCCCCCTCGTTAACCTCATGTGGAATCCCCGTGTGATCAGCTGTTTCTTGTTGTTGTCATTAGTCCTCTGTATTAAGTCCGCGTTTCAGTTTGTTTCCCCAGTCCAGTCATTGCAACGTCATTGTGTTGTTCTGCCTGTTCTCAATTAAACCCCCGTGTTTCCCGATCGCTTGAGTCCTGTCCCTGCTTCCCCGGTCCCAGCTCGGGAGATCGTGACACCCCCAAGCCACGCCCCAACACTGCGCCAACACTAGACTATGCCATGCGGTCCATTGTTTTTTTTTTTATTATTACTCTGTATTCGTTAATTTGTTCATGAATAGCAAACTTTTAGGTTGTATCATTTGTACAACTATTACGTAACTTTTTGGTGAGCAATGGCTAACAAAATGATATAAAGTACAGTGTATTACCTGATACAGTATTTTCAATAAAATAGCATTATCACCAACAAGCGCTGCTACTACAGCAAATGTGAGGCTGACACTGAAGCGTTACCTTTTGTTTCCGCTCAGAGACGTGCCGTGTGACTCATTTCCTGCCGCGTACAATTTATATTAGGTCAGCGTTCACGGTTCGACTTATGATATTCAGATCGTGTTCTAGGTCAAACTGGTTTGTTCGACTTTCAAGAAATTCGAGATCTAGTGAGTTCGAGAACCGAGGTACCACTGTATAATCTAATCTAATCTGTTGCAGGAGAAGTGGCGCCGCCTGGTGGCAGACGGACACAGCTGTCAGGAAATGTTTGAGCAGATCAGCTTGATGACACTGGACAGTCTCCTGAAGTGTACCTTCAGCCATGACAGCAACTGCCAGGAGTGGGTGACCTCAGGGTCACTGTGACCTACCTATCTAAATGGGGACCGTCCATTCATTTCTATGGGAAAAACCATAATCTCAATCACAACCCCCTTAACCTCTACCCATCCTTAACCTTAACCATAAGTAACCAACCCAAATACAAGACTTTTGGCATTTTTACTTTTTTGATTGCATTCACAGATTTTTATAAAACTGAGGTTATCCAAATGGGGACCTCAAAAGACTCCATACACACTGAGCTGAGGGCAGCAATCCAAGCCTCTACCTAGGAGGGGGGGGCAGGGGGGGGGGGTTCCTCATTAAACGTGTTGCAGCACGGCGGCGGTTCCTGGAAAGTGAACATTCGGCACCAAACTGGTTCTGCCAGGAAAACACATCAGAGAACGTTTGAGACAGAGATGGCTCTCTCCCAGAACATGCTCTACAACACAAACAGAATATAAACGATTAGTATGTTTTAGATTAAAGGATGAATATAAAATGCAGAATTTTCAATATTCATTTTATGAAAATATCAAATGTGGTTGTGCATAGAGATACACATGCTATGCGATGGTGGCGCTCACTTGCCTGGCTCCTGTGCTCCCCCTGCTGGCCTCCAGGCGTCCCAGCGAGTACATTTCTGCCATCTATGAGCTCAGCACCCTGGTGGTGAAACGGGAGCATCGCATGCTGCACCACTGGGACTGGCTGTACTGGCGCACGGCCGAGGGCCGCCGTTTCCGCCGTGCCTGCGCCGTGGTGCACGAGTTCACCGCCAGCATAGTCCAGAAGCGCCGTGCACAACTGCGCCTGCAGGGGGAGCCAGAGAAGCAGGGGGATGGTTTCAATATGAACAAAGTGACTGACTTCATTGATGTGTTGCTGTTGTCTAAGGTATGTGCACGTCAATGTGTGTGTGTGTGCCTCTGTGTGAGTGTCCGTGTGCGTGTTTATGTATGTATGTGTGCATATGTGTGCCAGTGTACATGAGAATATGTGTGCATGTGTGTGTTTGGGTGTGAATGCGTGCATATATGACAGTTATGTGTTTATTACATGGTTGGGGGCAAATGTTTTTAAAGAAACCTGTCATTTTGACATTGTGGGGACCTTTTTTAACCTCATTTTTGTAAATATCTGTGAATGATGCAGGACGATGACGGCAAGGGGCTCACGGATGAGGAGATCAAGGCGGAGGCTGACACCTTCATGTTCGAAGGTGGGCCTGCTCTCACTCCCAAAGGGGCTGGAGCTCCTACTGGTGTCCTAGGGACTGAGGCTTGTACCTGTCGAGCCCCCCCATGGGACCCTAAGATGGCTTGGGCCCAAGCACCAGTTACTTCAGGAGAGGGGAAAGCAAGGACTGCCCCTTTAACACCCCCCCCCCCCACCTGAGTCTGTTGCTGTGAGCAGTCTGCATCTGGTCCTTCTTTTAAAGCACATCTTTCTCTTTTTCTCCTGACCCCTCCTCTTCCAAAGGTCACGACACCACGGCCAGCGGACTCTCCTGGGTCTTATACAATTTGGCGAAGCATCCGGAGTATCAGGAGCGGTGTCGCGCTGAGGTGGACGACCTGCTGGAGGGCAGGGACAGCGACGAGCTCGACTGGTCAGAGTGCCACCCTCCCACCCCCACTGCCCTATGCCCTCCCTGGAGCCCATCCTCCAGGGGGCAGCAGAGGAAGCCCTAACTCTAACCAGACCCAAAGAGGGAGCCCGTCCTCCAGGGGGCAACAGAGGAAGTGAAAGTCAAATGAGCAAGATGGCAAAGTTCCAATTCGCACTGTCCTAGTTTTAACATTTGAATCTCAAATCTCATATTAGAAAAACGAACAGGCAAAATATGCAGAGAAATCTGTTCCTCTAAACAGCAGAAAATAAGACTTATCCCCGCCCCAAGCATTCAAGACATTCAGGCAGAAAACCCCAAGACCAAGAAACAAAAGCAGCATCAGGTGCAACTAGGAAAACTAACTAGGCACTCATTGCTAATGAGACAGTCATCTAATAAGCAGGTCAACTGAAGCGAGAAAATATGAAGTTACCCCCTAGCTCCCCCTGGTGGTCAGGATAAGACAACACTTTGACCTCATCTCAGCGTCTTCCTTCTTATGGTGCATTTTGAATGTCATTGTCTAATATATCACAGCTTGGTATTAAAGTGAGTTAAATTGTCACCATTGGGCTGAGGTTTATTCTGGGCCTGTGACACTGAGGTACTGGTTATCACCACAGGAACGACCTGTCCAACCTGCCCTTCATCACCATGTGCATCAAGGAGAGCCTGAGACTGTACCCCCCTGTCCCTGCAGTCACACGTCGCCTTACCCAGGAGATGACAGTGCCCGGGAAGCGGGTGATACCACCAGGTAAAGGGGGGGGGGGGGGGTCATGAAAAAGGGGCAAGTTGAGTAGGGGACAGGGAGAATGAATGGTTTGTATATGGGTGGGCAAATGGTGGTTCGTAGTGAAAAAAGTAAGGGGGGGGGGGGGGTTATAGCACAGGATAAATTGGAGATGCGGCGTTACGTGGATCGCCTGGTCTGAGGAACAGGAAGAAAGCTGCGTTGTTTCTCTGTCAGGAAACATCTGCCTGGTGAGCATCTATGGGACCCACCACAACCCCCACATCTGGCCCGACCCGGAGGTTTGTGAAACTGGCAGCTCCATCCTGGTGGCCCCAGCTTCATCCTGGTGGCCCCAGCTTCATCCTGACCATCAAGCTGCTGCCAATCCTTAACTTTTCTCTCTGATTGCCAAGGTTTACAACCCGCTCCGCTTCGACCCCGAGAATTCCAAAGGACGCTCTCCTTATGCCTTCATCCCCTTCTCTGCAGGACCCAGGTAGGGTGTGCTAATCAAATACTACACACACCACAAATGAATATGAATTGACATTGTCACAGTCCACACCTCTGTTATTGGCTTACTGGTGCCATCTTGTGGCCAAAATAATTCACAACATTCTTCTAAAGAATGGAGTTAAAATCAGCATTTCCTCCATATATATAATGTTTATACATGTAGGGTTAAGTGTAACACAGATCTGAGGTTTTTTAGAGTGAGACAGGCAGAGAGTAATACATCATTAATAGGTGCGCCTCCCTGTGGGCACCAATAGGAACTGCATCGGACAAAACTTTGCCATGGCGGAGATGCGGGTGGCAACTGCACTGACCGTGCGGCGTTTTCGCATCACACCCCGGGACAGCAAGGTGCGGCGGCTGCCTGAGCTCATCCTGCGCGCAGAGGGGGGGCTGTGGCTGCGGCTGGAGCCGCGAGACCCCCCCAGGGGGTAGCTGGGTCATATGACCGCTTTGCCTGCCTTTCCTCAAGGATCTCACTTCTTATTATCAGGGAGCCTGTCTAAAATAGACTCTTGTTTTTGTAGCTCTGTATGCTTTTCTTGCGGGGGGGGAGTTCAGTGTGTGACACCCCCTCGGGAGGCCTTGCTCTGCCTTCCTGATGAGTGATGACCGTATGTTTGTTTGCTCTGACCCAACATCGCTGTATTAGTACAACCAAGTCCAAGGACCAAAGTGATGCACATTATTGCTGGCCCACTATGTCTGTATTTGAAATAAATGCACAGTAATTCATAACAATTAATGTGCTCAGGTGCATAATCATTGTATTTCTTTTTTCATTTTCTGTTAAGCACTTTGAATGGCCTTTGTCATAAAAACCTTTGAAAATGTGCTGTACATATAAACTTGACTTGACTAATGTTACATGATTATTATTGACTTATTAGACCAAAGAAGTACAGGAAATAAATAAAGAAATCACGCCTATACAGTACTTATCTTCTGAATACATTACAGTAGGATGACCTGGTTTTACTTTGTTTAACCGGAGCTCTCCGGTGACACCTCGCCTGGGCTGTACCACCCCTCCCCGGCCCAGTGTCACCCTCGCCTGGGCTGTACCACCCCTCCCCGGCCCAGTGTCACCTCACCTGGGCTGTACCA